GCCACACGCAAGATCATCACATCATAAAAACATAAAAAGTAAACATTGGCTCTAATCCTAGATCTAGAATTAGTGCCCTAGAAACTCTATGTGTGTGTAGTAGGCTTGTGTGGCTTTTTATAGTTTCGATGTCGGGTAATTAATTTAAGATGTCTATAGTTCAGGTTTGTTGAATGTCTAAAAAAGAAACTTTAATTAATGTTTAAATATTAATGAATTGGGATAAGTTTTAGTTAATTTATTTTTTTATCCATTTTAATGCTTAGGTTAGTGATCTTTAAAATTTAAATTATATTAGCCAATTTTGGAATGTCCCGATCCTCCTATGTGTTAGACTAAACGGGTCCAAAATGTCAATATTTGAAATAGACTAGGTTTGGGGGTTCTAAAACTTTAATTAAATATTAGGGCTTACAAGGAGTAATTAGGCTTTGAGTTTGCTGGATTTAGAGTTTTATAGGCTAATATATAAATTTTAGAAGATTTAGGCAATTAAGGAATTATCGAAATTATTTAATGAGGGGTATTTTAGAAGTTTTGATCTAAATCAATTCCAAACTGATTCGAATCACCCCCAAAAGTCAGAAATGACCTAAGAAGATGTTCCTAAGTGTTTGGGAAAGATTTAAAATTTTTAATAATTTTTAATCATTTAATTAAGGCAAAAAGGTAAATTTTAATTAAATTTAAATTAAGGCTCAAATTAAGGTCTAATTAAGGGGACCTAATTATCTAAGGTTAAGAGTTGAAACTTAAAGAGTTTTAGGTATTAAAGGTAATTTTTTGAGTTGAAATATATTTATTAGAATTTTCTGAAGTTATCGAGATCTAATTAATGGGTAAATTAGGGTTTGTTAATTAATTGAGTTAAAGGCTCCTAAAAATTCCAAGAAAATTTTGAGAGGTTTAGGATGTTACTAAGTTTAAATTTTAAAATTTTTTTGTCAATCAGGGATCTATTCTAGCTCCTATAATTTTTCTAATTTTGCTAGAATAAACCTTAATTATTATCCTTAGGGTGTCACTACGTTAAATGGGTTTAAATCAAGTGTCTAGGACTAACCCTTAGGAAAACATGCAAGGAGAACATAAAAATAGTAAGCACGCCATGTCCTAAAATCTATGAGGGCCTAGGCTAAGGTCTCGTACATCCTACACATGTAAAAGACAACAAAATAGAAGACTAAGCGCATTTTAAGATGCGATTAGTAGATGATTGGAACCCAACCACCCACTAATGCACCTCCCCATGAATACTATTCATGAACATAACCTATGTTTAAAATTTCATGAAGTGGACTTCCCAAAATTAGGGATTTAACATATATATGTAATTTTAAAAATAATTCAAAATACCCAAATTTGAAATATGTAAATATAAGTTTAAGAAAAAAATGTAATTACAACTAATTTCATTTGTAAATGTTTGGGAGATCCACTGGCCACCCAAGGAAGGGTTCAAAAATATTTCAAAATATTTTTTTTTTTAATTTAAGAATTATAAATATTATAAAATAATCCTTTAATAATTTATAATTAATAATTAATATAAAATAGTAAGATAGTTAATAATTAGAATAACTGAAAATACTATTAAAATTTCAAAATACTTTTATTTTTAAATTAAAAAGACATCTTTTCTAAAACTTTTTATATAAAATATATATTTTTTGGATAAACAAATATTTTTTAATGATTTTTTAAAGTTATGATTTAAAAAACACTTAAAAAAACAAAATCAAAATTAATTAAAAATCAAATTGGCAGCTCGGTGGACCACGCAGCGGCCTCCTGTTAGCTCCACGGTTCGTGGGTAATGATTGCGTGGCGGCGCAATCATTACGACATGATGAGCCATGGAAAAACCTCCACTAATCCACGTAGGACATGGATCACAGGCCGTCGGATTGTTCGCGGTTCGAACAGACACTGCAGATCCAACCGAACGATGAGAAATCACAACGGATCGATACACGCAGTCGAACGAGAGTACAAAATAGTGTGATCCTGACTGTCGATCGTAAGATCAATGGTCTGGAACTCTGGATCTCGTAACACACGAACAGGGCGTACACCGAATTCCTAAACAAAAAAAGAGCTTAAACTCAAGATCGGGTGGATCATTTCGCATTAGATTTTATACTTAGGCTAACATAATGAACAGAAATCATGGGGAACAAAATTCATGGCCTAAAACGCGCTTTGTAGAAAGCTATTTAACCCTATGTGTAGTGACCTAGGTCTAGGGATTTTGAGATATCTAACCGTTGGATCTTCGATATCTTTGAACGGTTGAGCTTGTAAATTGTCCACGAGTGTTTTCCTAGTTGAACACGAGCCTTAATTCTCCTTGGATCGGACGGAAGAAGCCTTGAAATGTTTGTGGTCTCGGTTCACCGGAGATCACGCTGCCGGCGGCTCTGACCGGTCGGGTTTGGCTTGGAAAAGGTGGAGAGGGGTCATAGGAGCTCACAATTTTTTTTTTTTTTTGGATTTTGGAGGCTTAGGGAGATATTATGAGCCAAAAGTCCCTTTTAAAACCCTAGTTTTCCCTATTTATGGACCTAGGCCTTATATGGACGGCCTACATCACATCTAGGGAAAATTAGGATGGAGATGGGCTCAATTAGGATGGGATTTTCCCATGAGATCGTTAGGAAAGGATTAAATGATTGTTTAGAGGATAAATTTGACCTAAAGGGGTCAAATTTACCTAATAGAACTTGGGTTGACCAAGTCAAAGGTTGAATTGGTCAACCCAGTCTATTGAGTCGAAGGTAGTGGGGGTTTGAGCCCAAGAAAGGTTTGAATAAATTGGAATTTGATTTGGGTTCAAAAGGGCCAAATAGGTTAACCTTGGTTAACTTGGTCAACCAGGTTGACCCAAAGCAGAGGTCAGGGCCCAATAGGTTGGGTCTGACCTACTAAGTCCAGTGTAGGTGGGAATTGAGCCAATGAAGCTCTGAATTTGATTTGAACCCCAATAGAGAGGTTTATGTCAATCTGAGTCAACCTAGGTTGACCTGGTCAACTAAGGGCCTGGGCAAGGGCTCAACAAATTTGGTTTGACCCACTGAATTGATTGGGAAGGGTCTTAAGGCCTATCCTGGTCAATTTGACCAGGTCAACCCTTTTGACTAATAGTTTGGAGAAAAACAGGGTCAACACACCATAATCAATCACATAACCATTTCAAGTTAATCATATAGACATAAAGTCTCCAGTTAGACTTCAATCATATTCAATCCATAATCCAATCAATTCAAAGCAATCAATCAATCAATTAGCATGCACAACAGCAATCAATCAATCAATCATATAATCAACAATCATACATTGAATTAAGCTTCAATCAACCCTGAATAATCAATCACCCTGATAAATCATCACTCTCAATCACCTAGACAATCAATAGCATTGCATTATAATTAGTTAGCCTAGTGCACAACCTTGCACGATATAAGTCAGCTCACTATGATTTGATCAAACCCACATTTATATCCATTCATTCACCCAAGATTCAATCTTATAGCACTAAACCCCTCATGTTTAACTAGTTTATATGGAAAAACTCTTGCTTACCTGGCATTCCCCCTCATGTAAGGCCATCTAACCCCTTTTATTGGACACTAGAACATTTGTTGACCTCACCTAAACCAACCCTAAACTCTGGTTAACCTTAAATCAGCCTCCAAGTGGTTCCCTTCCCAGGTGAGGACAAAATAAACTTTCCACCTCATTATACCATGCCTTAGTCCTTTTTTTGCCCTCTAACCACCTGAGAGACACTTGGCATCATCTTGGAATTCCTCCAAACCGATCTTGGCCATCCAAATGAGTTAAGGCATTTGAATTGAGCCAAAGGGACCAAAACAAGGATGTTAGAAATTAGACTCTCTCTCACTACCTACGGTCTACCTCTCATTTTCTTTCAGCTCTTCAAATGTTCCTTCAAATCTCTAAAGTAAGACCGTGACATTTGCAGGTCGCCAACAATGAACTTGCGGTTCCCTTGCCCAAAGATCTGTCCAAGGCTAATAGCTGGTAATCCAAACCTTCCCAAACTTCGAGTCCTTTAAGTAGATTGTTATGGACATCTCAAAGAGCAAAATCAGCCTAACTTTGGTTGTTTATGTCCATTGAATCAAGATAAAATCTAAACCCTAGTTAGAAAATTTTAGATTTAATTAACATTTTATCAAGCATGTTTTAAACTACCAAACCAAATCCCCATTATTCATTTGATATTGGTGAAGCCCTGTTTAAAATTTTATGGCATTTCATTCATTAATTTTAAAGATATTTGCATTCTTCATCTTAGGGTTTATGAATAATGTTATATATAAATTGTACAAAATTTGAGCTGTTAATACAAAACAACAACATCAAGCCTTTATCCCACTACGTGGGGTAAAATTTGAGCTGTTAATCTCCAAATTATTTTCATCTTTTGAAACATTGGTAATAACCAACATAATTCTGAAATTTTCAACAACAAAAAAAGGAATTCAAAGGTAATGACTATCTTATTAATTATATTGATCAAAGGAATTTTTTCTAATTTTATTATTATTAATTTAATTTTTAAAATTTTGATCTATGGCCACTAAATTTTTTGAGGATGATTATCAGCTTTCTCAAAATTTTAAAATCTTTTGTGAATTGATATTTTTCATGTCTTTATTTAATTTCCATGGCATATCTAAAAATGTATTAGGATGATATCTAGATATTATTTGTTCCGATAATTCACACTAACAATCAATCGCTGGTAATGACTATCTTAGTTCTTAATCTTTTTTTAATGACACAATTAGGATATTAATTAGATATTGTAACTAATTTCTAGTTTTCAATTTCTTACGAGATGAGGCCACGACGGAGCGATACTCTTCTATAAATACCAACTTTCATACCAGTCCATGCATAGCGGCAACGCAGACAACAAAAGCACAAGCAAGCCCCTTTCTTGTTTCTACTTCCTCCAAACTCAAGACGCAATGGGAAACCTCCCCATCGAACCATTCCAGCCACTAGACCTAGACCTCTTCTCCAAAGAATCCAAAGCGGTCGTCGACTTCATCTCCGACTACTACCGCGACATAGAACGCTTCCCCGTTCGCAGCCAAGTAAAGCCGGGCTATCTCCGCAACCTCATTCCCGACACCCCTCCCCTCTTCCCCTCACCCATCACCACCATTCTCCACGACATCAAAACAGACATCTTTCCCGGCCTCACCCACTGGCAAAGCCCCAATTTTTATGCCTATTACCAAGCCAACGCTAGCTCTGCCGGCTTCGCCGGAGAGATGCTCTGTTCCGGCCTCAACGTCGTCGGATTCAGCTGGATCGCTTCCCCTGCCGCCACCGAGCTTGAAACCATCGTTATGGACTGGATGGCCAATATGCTCAAACTCCCACCAACTTTTCTTTCTGGCGGACTCGGCGGCGGCGTCATCCACGGCAGCACGTGCGAAGCCGTGGTCTGCACGCTTGCCGCGGCAAGAGATAATGCTCTGAGCCAGAGCAATGGCGAAGGGATCACAAAGCTGACGGTATATGCATCTGATCAAACGCATTTTACATTTCAAAAGGCAGCGAAGCTGGTTGGAATTCCGACCAGAAACTTTCGGGTGATATCGACGTCGGCGGAGACAGGGTATGCGTTGACGGCGGAGAGCGTGAGGGCGGCGATGGATGCTGATGTAGTGGCGGGGATGGTGCCGTTGTATTTGTGTGGAACGGTGGGGACAACGGCGGTGGGGGCGGTGGACCCATTAAGGGAGATCGGGGAAGTGGCGAGGGAATTCGGGGTGTGGTTCCACGTGGACGCAGCGTGCGCCGGGAGCGCTGCTATTTGCCCGGAGTTCAGGTGGTACTTTGATGGATTGGAGACGGCGGATTCGTTTAGTATGAATCCACACAAGTGGCTGCTTGCGAATATGGACTGCTGCTGCCTTTGGGTGAGTTTTTACTAATAGCATTTAGTAGTTAAATAAACTCATGATTATTTACATAGATTCAATGGCTTATTTTTCAAAAAAAAAAAAAAAAAAGTAAGTAAAGTGACAAAAAAAAAATAATGATTCAAAGTTTTTCACGATCAAACACTTGCTTCGAAAGTAAATATCATAACTTTATATTTTTTTGTCTCTATTTTTTATTTTTAATTATTTTTCAAGTATATTTATTTAATATATTTTTCACTTATTTTATTTTTAAATTATTTTTCAGAATTTACTGTAGCATGTCGCCCGTTCACTACAGGAAAGCAGCTCATTTCCGACAGAATTTCCGGCGGAAAAAAATCCGTCGCAAATTCCGGCGGATTTTTTCAACGAATTCCCGACAAAATTTTTGACTGGTTTTCCGACGAATTTTTTCCGAATACATTTCCGGCGGGATTTCCGGCGGATTTCTGACGGAAATTAAAAATTAATTATTTTACGCCGGAAGTTCTTTAACGACGCGCATGAAACCGGCGAAAATATTTCCGCCGGAAATGCAATTTCTGACGGATTTTGGCCATTTTCCGCCGAAAATGGCCGCCGGAAAATGACGTTTTTCCTGTAGTGGTTTAACGGGCAACTTACAATAGTAAATTTTTTTCTTAAATAAGTCGCATGTTATTTCGACGACTAGAACATGACTCAGCAAGTCTGAGTCAGCATAAGTCGCCTGTTTGATGGGCGACTTTGCCTACTTTTAAATTTAATTTTTTTAAGACTTAATTACATTATTAAATGTTTAATAATACCTAGTTTAAAAATTTTCTCATAAATTTTTACTAATTGCATTTAGCAGTTAAATAAACTCATGATTATTTACATAGATTCAATGACTTATCTTCAATCATGAAATAAGCTCAATTTAATTTTCAAAAAAAAAAAAGTTGAAAGAAAATATTTGGGTCATTATAAATTTCAAAATCACTAATTATCAATTCCAAATAATCTTCTAATTAACTTAAATTTCTAACAATTTTTAAATTTTTACTAATAAAGCAATATTGTCGAACTCAGGTAAGGTGCACGACGAAATTGATAGACTCGCTGTCAACCAAGCCAGAGATATTGCGGAACACCGCAGCTGAAGTCGGCAATGTGATCGACTACAAAGATTGGCAGATCGCACTGAGCCGGAGGTTTCGCGCCATGAAATTGTGGGTGGTCATTAGGCGTTTCGGCCAGGCTAATTTGATGGAGCACGTGAGGAGTGATGTGGACATGGCAAAGCATTTCGAGAAACTTGTCGCTGAAGATGAGAGGTTCGATTTGGTTGTGCCACGACGATTGACGCTTGTTTGCTTTAAATTGAGGGTTGATAAAAATGAGGGGAAGAAGTGTAGGGAGATGAACATGAAGTTGCTTGATTCGGTGAATGGAAGCGGGAAAGTATTTATGACACATGCGGTCGTTGGTGGGGAATTCGTGTTGCGGTTTGCGGTTGGTGGGACGCTGACGGAGAAACAACATGTGGAAGCAACTTGGAAGCTGGTTCAGGAGAAGGCAAGTGAATTGTTGATGACTGGTTGGAAGTAAAGGGCATAGCTTAATTCTACTGGTTCATGATATGTAATAAAATGATAAAAATAAGTAATTATTTGATATAAGGAAGTGAGATATAATTTAAATATTTTTAATAATGCTGTAATGTAAACTCTTAAAAGTTAATATATTATAAATGAATTATGCATTAATAT